AACACAAATACAGGAATTCCAAGTAGAAAGAGAAAGGTACTGKACTTTCGTGTTTAAATAATGCCTTCCCCTGTTTTTTTTTCCCTGTTTTTTTTTTTTTTTTGCCTAAAATATTGTAATTGTTTTTCAGATTGTTAAAAGATCATACAGATTCTTCTGGGGTGCATAACCATGCTCTTGAAGTCATGAAAACTAAACTAGAAGAGGCTGAGAGGAAAYTGAAAATGGAAGAAGAGGCTCGCCAAAAAGCACAGGTAAACATTTCCACGACTTTGTACATGTACTAGATTTTAGCTATTCAACTTACTCAACTGTCTGTTTGACTTACATATTAATGCATACCTTAAATCGCTTAATGAGCTTTTGTGTGCGCTCTATATGCGCGAAAGCAGTTATAATTCCTTGTCCTGTCGGTGGACGAACAGTCCGAAAACTCGTCAAATTGAATGTGAAAAGAACATAGTTGAACATTTCATTAAAGAAGTATTATTGTCTTGACCATAGCACGAAGCGATGGAAAGACAAAGTAAGCTCGAAGAAGAACAACACGCCATGGCGGATTCGCTTAAAAACTTCCAGAAGAAAGCTAACGAAGAGAAAACAAGAGCAAACGATCAAGTATCAGCATTAAAGATTGCCAAAGCTAACGTCGAAGCGTCAAGACAAGAACTTAAAGATTACAAAGAAAAGGCGGGTCGAATCCTCCAGGCAAAAGACAAAGTCATTGCAACTCTCCGTGAAGGTCGCCATGGTGATGACTMTATTGGGGGAGGGGTGACTAGTGCGGAATTAGACGAGGTATGCCAGGAAAGGGACGCTTTACGAGAGGAATTGAATCAGGCAAGATTTCGAGTGGAGCAAATGAAGGGAGAGCTACAAGTAAGTAATATGGGCGTAGACATCATGTAGACATTAGCTTACGCTATTCTTGGGTATTATATACCTATTTCAATAAAAGTGGTCGGAAAAAACAGCGATTCCACGACCTAAAGGAATCATGRGTTTTACTAATTGATGGGAATTAATAGCTGAAAGATACTGTAAGATAATCTGTGTTAAAAAATGACTCCATTTTTAATAAGCAAGATGAACCCAGCAAGCGAAATTTTGTAAGTTAAACAGAACAACCATTGTCTTGCCGTCGGGAGAAGGCCGTTCKCCGTTATCACAGACAACGGTTTTTTAAAGTTTACTCAAGTTTCAAAAGTATAGGCAATGTCCCGCAATGCCATTTTGTGCAACAGWGCACATTTAGRGATCATGRCTTGTAAATAAGAYTTTCCATTTTTRACRTGATAGGACCTTGAGCATAATCACCAGTCAGATGCAGACATTGCACAAGAGAAGCTTGATATTCTACAAGGACTTCTGGACGACGAGAAGAGAAAAAAAGAAGCCTGTGARCAGGAGATCAGAACCCACATGGAGGTGACTATTACTATATCATGAATYCTTTGCATGATATGGACACCAAGTGCTTTAGTATGCCTGTAAGATGAAAGTATCCGTACATAATTTTGGTGTCCGGCAGTGTTTTGTACGGCGCAAATTCGCATCTTAGTAAGATTTCATTATGACGTCACAGTATGTTTACATCGGAAAATGATACTCAAAAACAGTGGAAATTTGGACCCGTTTATATTGTCTACTAAAGTAGAACTTCAATGAATCGTGTATAATCGTGTAACTTCAATATATATCATGTATAAATGATTGTTCATGTACATTTTATTTGAAATGCAGTCACTCTGATCCCTTCTGGCGACCATAATCCTTAGCGTTAAAACAATAGAATGTTTTGATGTGACGTCATAATGAACTAGGGTAATTCTTTGCACCAAAAAGTACAGGTGCTTTAGTATGCCTGTAAGATGAGAGTATCCGTACATAATTTGGGTGTCCGGCAGTGTTTTGTACGGCGCAAATTCGCATCTTATTAAGATGCGAATTTAGTAGAATTGAGTAGAAAAGATAGTCGTAAGGTGACATTCAACTTGTGATCAATCGTGTTTTTTGTTTTGTTTTGTAACAGGATGTACGATTTGCTCAGGATGAAATGCAAAGGACGAAAAACAGTTTTATGAGTCAGATACAGGTTTGTRTACAGTTAATCCATGTATCTCAGAAAACATTGAATATGCAGCCCTTATGAGGCCCGTTCCCAGGTATTGGAAAGAGTTCTGAGAGAGACCTGGTAACGAAGCTCATAACGGCTTCGAGAAGAGACTACATTGAGTACTGTGATACAATGTAGTCTCTTCTCTGAGAAGGACTGGCGCCTAGAAAGTTTTTCTAACAATTACCCGCTTTGGTCAGATTTGGGGGATTTAACTGCATAGGAGTGTATCTTACAGAGTCATTATTTCATTTACAGGAACGAGAGGGAGAAATCCAAAGGCTCAGAAATCAACTTGCAAACAAAACACTAACGTCTACTAGCGAAGCTGAATTGGAGAATAGAGTGCGAGCACTCACAGAGAATCTCATCCAGAAACAAACGATGATCGAAGCGTTAAGTACAGAAAAGAACTCGTTAGTTTTACAACTAGAACGACTCGAGGTAAAGTAATATCACACACTTAAAGGGGCACGATCAACCGGCATTCACTGCGGTCGTGCTGTTATATTACAATTTTTAGAGCTAAAGGAATAATAGAGAGTACGTTTTCCTTATATTTTGATGTAGTTTTATTTTCAAACATATGCAAAAGTTTGTGAGGGATGCTGGTTGACCCTGACCCATTAAGACACAAAAGTGAAAAAAGAACAATGAATTTGAAGTTTACTATTAGTTTCCCTATTTTTTCACGGTCGACAGAAAATCACTAATTTACATTTGTCTTAAAAATGCTCTTTATACCCCTTATACACCACCCCTCTCCCTATAAACAAACCTCCCCAAAGACTCCTCGATAAGCCTGAATAGACGACCGACATTAAGTATATTTCGAAATTATCCAGATACGGTTATCGTTTCCAACGGTTTTTCACATAAACCGTGATAGACCTAAACTTATGATGAAAAAATATACGATCTTAAAAATATCCGGGCACGTGTGCTCATCATTAACATCTGTCTCCGTAGCAACAATATCGAGACGTCCAGGCCTCCTCGGCAAGACATATCAAATCWACTTCAGTAACATTTGATGGCATTGAGGATAACGATGAAAATACACGTAAGTCATACTTTTCTTTGAGAAGYTCCTTTTCATAGCTTAACGGACTTATCTTGGTGCATTTGTGTGCGTAAAYCGCCCTTCGTGCGCAAGTAACTTTAACGAAGAGTCCTTCTCTCTTAATTTGATTTATTTTGTTGTTGTTGTTGTAACGTTGTATTTTGTTTTACTTTGTTTTGTTTCTGTCTATCTAAATTCTTTGTGACTGATGGCAAATAAGCCCTTCGTAGAACGTTTAATATTTTCATTGTTGGCTGCTGCCCATAATGCTTTGTTTCTTGGTTTCTTCTCTTTTTGATATAATTTAACTTATCTATTTTGTGTTGGTTTGTTGTTGTTTTTTGTCTCTGTTGTTGTTGGTTGTTTTTATTCTTTGTCTTCATACGAATGCAGTAACGTTCTATGATTAATTTTCTTTTATCTTTTGTTTAGTTTCCCGTGTCAAATCYATCACGTCGGTGATGCCATCACAAATCAGTGACTCTCGTCAAGTTAAAAGAGCTGTCAATCAAATAGATAAATTCAGGTAAGACTACAACAATCCTGCGAAAACTCAGCCTGGCTCACAGCGACATAGAAATAGGGTCTATGTACACCACGACATAAGCATACAGATATAGGGTTGGTCGACATGGCCACGACATAAGCATAATGGAAGAGAAAAAAAACACCCAGAGATTTAATGATGAAGGGATTAAGAAGACGAGAGGAAGATGTTTTCTTGTTTCATGTTTAATTACCTTGGACTTCTGCTAATAGTCACAGCGCCATCTTGAAAGGTGGTCGTGCCTTTACATCGAAGCGAGACAACCGTTGATCGTGAAATGATAGATACCTGTGAATAATTATCTGTAAGTGTGAAAAAAGGTTTCTATCATTGTACGCTYAACGGTCGTCTCGCTTCGATGCAAGGCACGGCTACCTTCCATGATGGCGCAGGGATCCGTGATTATGTCGATGGCTTCACTTCTTTGTTGTTTTTTTTCACTGGTTCCTTGACATATGTTTTTTTTTCGTATAGTATCAGAATTGGACTGTTCCTTAGACGTTACCCAATCGCCAGGTTATTTGTCATTTTATATATGGTGAGTATCACAAAGTCTCACAATCAAATGCCTTGTTCAGTATGGCTTTTAATGAGGTTTCAGGGCTGTAGTCAACCGTCATCCCTTAGGAGACTTGTGAAATACATCGTAATATAACCAAAAACGTACTCTTGACTGTCCTTTTGTGGTCTATGAATGCAGATATTAAAAGATATCTTAGGCCAGTTTCAGACGTCGATCTTTTCTCGAGTCTATTCTAATTGGTGGAGTTCAGTTTATGAACATTTCGTACTTTGAATTCATTGACATAAGTAGATTTTGTCCAGTCGGACAAACTTACTATAATCCCTTAAATATCCATCGACGTAGACTGCAAACTTCTCAAGAACTGCATGTAAGCAATTAGATTAGACGCGGCAAAAGATCGACGTCTGAAACGGGCCTTAAAACCAAAAGATAAAAAAGAAATTGCGAACGAAATCACTCCATKTTTCCATATATGAATAATACAACTCATTGATTGGCGGTTGAATATGGCCCTTYAATTAAAAACTAATTCATGATTTTCGCAATGCATCAAGGGAAGGAGGATAAAATAAAATAAGATTTTTGCCTTCTTCCCTTGATGCCTTGAGAAGTGATTGAGAACGCCTTCAAGTTATTTTTTTTTTACAATAGCAATGTAATGACCGAATGACTTGGTATCATTTCAGTTCATGCTTCATTTATGGGTTCTGATTGTACTTCTAACCTACCAACCCGAGGTCCACGCGTCTGATCCTGTTGGAATGCCACAAAGACCCGCATCTAACCCCACAACGTGACCTAAGGGCAACTATACCGAATATGTACAGAAAATCGACAAACAGATAAACCGGGCATATTGAATAATCCGACCTAGAGATAAGTACATACATTGAATGATTCGA